AAGATATAGTACAGCAGTTCAGGTAACTGCCTTAAAAAAATTGCTATAAAACGAAATAATTTTCTTGTGCCAAATAATAAACTCGCCGAATTTATATGGCGAAAAATTCCCTGCAAATGTCAAAAAATTTAACTTGAAGAACTCATACACTAAGTAATTTTCACATGACTTTACTAAATTAAAAAAAAAAAAAAAACTTACTTATCTGCTACTTCATCGGTATGTTTTGTCTTTTTATTAGTACTTACTGGCCAAATATCAATATGTCGCAGAAGCCACATTACTTCATCCCTTGAAAACGAAAGAGCCATCCACACAAACAAAATTTTTGGCCCAAGAAGACCAATTTGATCTTTGATTAGCAAACAAAGTTCTCGTAAAGTACCTCGAAGAAAACGGCGCCGATCACGATGAACAGTAAGGCTAGAAAAAACTGACACAATGACTAAACACAGGCATTTTACTGTACCTGCTTTGCTTATTATCATAATATATGAATCAGAATTTCTTGTACAGAAGTAGGAAAAAGTAAACGAACTTTAATAAAGCAGATACCTTGTTTGCAATGCAACTGAATAGTGGTCTTTTACTTCCTGCAGCTTTTTACTGTAACTTTTCACATTTTCAAAAACACTCTGAACCGTCTGATGAACAATAAGAATTTCATCCCTGAATGAGCATAATCACCAAACATCACATTTAAACCGAAACGCATTTTGCAACTTTTTCTATCAGTTTCAGGATCAGCAAAAATTTCATTTCACAAATCGTACTTCCTTCATTAAATCGATTCTTTCATCTATAAACACGCTTACGTGCAAATGAAAGGCAACAAATAAGCCAAACAAACCTAAAAAGGCGTATAGCAAGACCCGTTTGCAATGCGCGCTGCCACAAGTTAGCAATCACGGAATCGTTTAACAGTGTGTTATGACAAACAAGCACACCCACTGCAAATTAAGTGTCTACAAACTAAAAGTTTATTAAAGATAAGAGTGGTATTAGTCGGAGTTAAACTCAATATTTCTAATAATTTGAATACCTCGTCGTACTGTGTGATCAGTTAGACCAAGTTGATGATGGAATCTGTACCATTAATTTAATCGTGGCGGCTCGAAGCATGAACAATCTGACTAATGTGCAATACCAGTCTTTTCTAATACACCACAGTGCCGAAGGTGTAATTACCTCACCACTAGAAGATCCGCTGCACTGAATCATTAGTCAACTCTACTGCTTAATGGTGAAAAGAAACATACAGCGTAAAAGAAGAGATGATAGAACCAACAGAAACCTCTTGCATTATTGCTTTAACTCCACTTCCCTCTTTATCAGTAGTGGCGGTTCTGACATATGTTCGATTCGTCGTAATGGATACTCGAACGAAAAAATAAGGTAGAACTGCATACCATTAGGCATTAAAATACGAAATGAGGCCTGACATCTCAAACCTCACTACTTCCAGTCAATGGCAATCAACACAGTTAATGATAACTGCTTCAAATAAAATGCAAAGTTATAAAACGGCACTTACATATTATCCATCTGTCCATAACATCCAATGATAAATATTCGCAAGCTATCTACAAAATTTTTATTCAAACTAAATCGTATACATAAAGTTTTTAACCTACGACGAAAAGTTCAGTTTTCTTCTGAGCCGTATTTCCTAGTGGTTATCTTATCAATTAGTATGGGAAAAAAATTTCCCTTTCCCGAGACATATATTATAGTGTCTAATACTTCAAAATGGGCCTTAACACCTTAGCCGGATTTTTGCTCGGAAGACAATGACTTAAACCGGTAAAAGAGAGGTAAAAATAACAAATTGATGTAATACACCCTACTTTTACCAGAATTAAATCACTCAATATTTTTTGTACAAATAAATGCAAATATTTTTTAGTTCAAATAAAAAATGTAAATATGCAAGTCAGAATTCAACCACTCAATATTTTAGTCCAAATAAACGTTATATATGTGCTAAGTCGCGCAACGCAAGGTCCCCACTGAAGTATATCCTCAGTTTCTTCTTTAATTATGAAATATATGAAAAGTTCCCTTGACTGTAAATATTTTTGCCTAAAGATTTTTCAAAACATACCGTGTCAGTTTGAGCAGCGTACAGGATTTGTTGCGGAGAAGCAACAAGTGACAACATTTGCGCATTACGCCATGCATTTGCAGTTATATTTCTACGAACATAAACTGTTCCTAATGAGGTTAGAGAACCATGAATCAACTGCAAGAACCATAAAATTTTTTCATTTTCATTAAGGATTTTCAATCACCTTAGAGGAAAGGGATTTTCGACTGCATTAGCTAATAAAAGACTTACATGTTACTTCACTTTTCTGCCTCTTCTTCAACTACAAATAATATATAAGAAATAGTACCACGTAGTGATATTTAAGATAACTTTCAAATATATTGAATACGGTAGAAGAAATCTCAGAAAAATCACTCAAATCAAAGGAGAAAAATGAAAAGCACCCTATTTAAAGGTCCTAAATCTTCGGCCAATTTCTTCCATGGATTATCGTACTCAATAATCATTTGTCCTAATCTCGGAAAAGTGGGTTCACTCTGTCCATTACTGAGTTCATAAGCAGCATTGAATAACCCAAGAACGGCTTTCCTATCATCTACGCGAGATAAAAGCACCATCAAACACACCAAATTAATAACCAAATTCATGTAACCTGCTGTTAAATCGTAGCTTGTTGTCTGCAATAACGTTTTTTGGTTAACTGTTGCTGCCGCCGCTCAAGTACTATTGTTGAGAGTATTAATTTACAGAAACTTTAAGTTTAAGAGCGCTGTTTTTGTAATAAAAAAGAAAAGAAACTTACTATATCTAGCTTGAACTGTGCAGCATCCATTGTTGTCAGTAGCTGTAATATGTGATCTTTCAAATCCAGCAAATCAGCAAATGTGCAGTAATATAGCGAGAGAGATTTCAAAATTTCCTGCTTTATCAAAGTTACTTGATGAAACAACGTCTGAAACAAAATTCATTTCATAAGTGCTTCAAACATTCTTTCCGGACAATCTTTAAACAGCATTCATAGATATATTACTGACTGCGTTGTACGTATACTTTATTGAAAAAAAATAACTGTCTTGTATCTTAAACTATTGGTTTTATCCAAAACCAAAGTTACAACCATTACCACATGAAAGTTGGATGGCATGCCTCGTGAAATAAAAGTACTGGAGACGAAATTTACTCGATAATCATCTACTTACGTTGAGTAAGTGACTGTACATTATAAAACAGTTACTTCTAACAGTGGCATAAAAATTGCTCCTTCAAAGTTACATAAAAACACTCACTTGATCGAAAAAAAGTGGTGATAAAATCAACATAAAAGGATTAGAGCTTACACTGCTTGATCTAGCATCAACAATGGGAAATTTGCGCACTATATGCTTGATGCAACTTTCCAATGATTTCTCGCTTAAAAACTGCGGTTTTGATCTGGGATCACCGCAAGCTTTTTTGATATTATACAGCCTTGTAAGCATACCCACTGCCCGATCATTCAGTATTATCAACTTTTCGGCTATTTTCATCTGCGTTACATCCACTTTATATGCCATATTCATGCGATATTTTTCACTTCTCTGATACCCTGGAAATGCAATCAAATAGTAATCAAATTAAGGAGGAAGAAAGGGATATTAAATCTACGCTCGGAGTTCTGATCCACATTCAATTCAGCAAAACAGGACGCAGATTACATTAGATAATGGTAAAAGGGTCGTAAAACCTGGAAATCTGTCTACCAAAATAACTGTCTTCTATTTAACGGTCCTTTCATGTATACGGTTTGATAATTTTGTAACACAACGCTCCAGCAGCCAAATGGACACATAAAGGAACAGGTGAGAACAAAATACTGAAAAGGGAAGCAGTTCGGCATTTCTCCAAAACGAAACCATTCTTTAGCGGCAGTATTGATAATGTCTTGCAAATACGTTAGGCTAAGAAAGTACCCGCATTAACTATCCTATAAATACAACAGTCTGGATTGATAAAACTGTTAAACAAAATGGGTTGTTAAAATTCTGAACACCACATAACCAGGACATGGACTGATAAGTGCATAATATATTGATGTATATGCCGCTGCTAAGGTCGCACTTCGTCTCCTGAAGCGATTAGCGAATTTTAATGTACTTTTTTCGAAATAATGGGAGGGTATTTAACATGATGAAGGAGGGGATCCATTCGTGACAATCAATTTATATTCTTGAATTGCCACTGATAATCTAGTTACATTCCTAGATCAGGTTTTTATTGCGGTACCTATTTATATCGTTTCTGGTAAAACTTATATTGACGTTTTGCTCTTACAACAGTAATGACATTTTCTTTTATGCAAATAACCGCAAAATAGTTGCATGAGAAGTGAAATGCGGAGGGAAGATAGCATGCTGGTGAAGGTATCGATTTTGTCAAAGGATTTCGGGAGTTTCCGGTCATTTCTTCCTTTTTTGTTCCATTAATACGTTAAAAGCTTTGTGTTTTTTGACATTTGCATTCCTTTCCAGGATGATGTCGATTTTGTTGAGAACTACAATCCGCGTTGTTTCCTAATAGTGTTGTTTACTTTTTAATTTAGTCCAAATTTGCCAAACTTTCTATGCTGATGCAAATATGTTATAAGCAGTAAAAAGAAATTTGGTTTTGATTCAGTCTTCTTCGTCGTGAATTTGGCGGCAGAAGGTTGATTCAAAACCAAACTTCTCTTGTCAAATTTCTTTCGATAGCAGAAAAAGGATGTCAAATACAAGTTCTTTTAAAACATTCCGGAAATTTTCGAAAATGATATTCATGTAACAATTAGGCCACGGAATTTAAAAGCTGCAGGCTTTGGGTTCTAAAATTAAATATGATTCTTCTCCGCAACTCCTTCCTCCAAATCCCGCTTCATGTTCGTTGAATGTCTTGCTTGCATTTCAAGTTTCAAGGTGCGAAGTGTGGATGCACTCATATGTTTACTGATGAATCCAATGTAATTTGCATTGAAAATGAAGAAAATATAGAAGAAAGTGGAGTGAAATATGTTAATAAGTAATTTTTTCTTTTTCTTTACCTAGAGCGCTTCCAAAAAGGAAATCTTTCTTGCTTTTTATAATCAGTTATTTTCTTTGACATCGGTAACTACAAAACGTGTTGATTCTATGGAAAATCCAAATACTCGAGGCCAAGAGCAGTTTCATATTCAAGAAAAACTCCTAGCCTTCGTTGTTTTCATTTTTTATTTCAGACTCGCCGCATACCAAAGTTTTTCCAAAAATGTGTACCATTCGTCTTCACAAGAAGTAACTGATTCTGAAAAGGGTGATGCCGGTATAATTGGCCATGAGCGGTCTCGTATATCACGGTCGCAGTTGCCATGCAACTCAGATGAGGTCATTCTTTCTTATCAGATTTTAAGTGTCAAATGATTTTAGAACGAGAACGGTTTCGTGTAGGAAGTTATTCATGAGGTGTTCATAGTAATTCTCTTCTATTTAAAGTAAGGAAAAACCCTATTTTGAGTCCGGATAACAGAATTCTTTCGGAAACATAATGCTAGTCGATGATATAAAATATAGCCGTGTAGCATCAGGTTTTCATTAATATATGCGTTCTGTGAATAGTTTCAAAAAATCTAAAACTTTTAGTTGCCATCCAATGTAATTGTTTCCCTCTTTGGAGTTATCGTTATTTGGTGAAAAATAAATGGTTTTTATTTATTTTTCCATGAATTGCCGTCAAATGCATATCGTATTCTGACAAGCAGCGTTGCTCAGATTCATTTAGTCTCTTTTAGCTTGCGAAAATATTATACTAAGTGTAAGAAAGTTGCTGTACGTTTTTCTGACTCGTTTTAGGCCATTTTATCATCGAAATTCTAAGTTTAACCAAATGTACTGTTAAATAATGTAAAGGTTTATTTGCTGCCGTGAGAATTTAACATTTATTTCAAGAGCGGTAGTTTATATGGATGGCAAGCAGTAATTAGCAACTTATTGCAGCATGCTGCACAACATTTCTCTGGAGGGGTATTTTCGATTACGAGCGGTTCATCGAGATACTGAATAATCAATCTCACTAAAATGTTAAATGGGTTGTATTTCCAGATGGTTCAAAGAAAGGAGCGGAAAAAATGTGGAAAAGCTCACACAGTACCTTTTATTTTAGACGAGTTTTTTGGTGTGTATTGTCTGTTGAGTCGAAGTTCGAACAGATATTTCAAGGTATTTAAATGTTTCATAGCTGTTGTGATTTTACTATAACACAAGCAGGCCTTACAGTTTCAGGTTTTGAGGAAGTGTTCAACTGTTATATATACCAAGTGTCTATTTATAATTTCAGAATCGTTGCTACATTGGTTATACTATTGACCCTAATCGACGTATACGGCAGCATAATGCTGGGAAAGAATTTGGGGGAGCCAAAAAAACGGATCAAAGAGGTCCGTGGTATGTTCTCGTGCTTTATTAAATAAAACTTGGAGTTAATGCCTGGTATTAGTATGAAAAGCACTGTTTATGGTTGTTTCTCATTGAAGGTTCTTTCTGAAAGTTAGTTCATCAATGTTGTCTGCGATTTATAATATGGAATAAATTAGAAATTTCTGGCTACGTTATGTAGCGATTTTAGGGATATGGTTTGCATCATACATGGTTTCCCAAACAGTGTGTCCGCACTGCGATTCGAATGGGCTTGGCAAAATCCAGAGAAGTCACGAAGACTGCGGTCATTGAATTTAAAGAAGAAAGCGAATGAAACTGCTCTCGGATTTCGTTTGCGTATTGTTTGTCATATGTTGAATAGCGATCCGTGGCAGCGCCTCTCACTTACATTCCGGTGGTTATTACCTGTAGGTTTAGAAGTTTTAAAAAACCTAAAAGTGAATTTTGGAAAACATTCATTCCCACTCATACATTTTATTTAGGAACTGGAAATTCCTTTCTCCCCGGATATTACACCTCCTTCTCATATGACTGTGCAACATGGCGCTGTGACAAAAATATCGTCGTTAATACCTCAGTTGCAAGAAGAATATGATATCATTGGAACTTGTTCGCTGTGCTTAAAGCCAATAAATTCAGTGAGTTGTTAGCTGAACAATGAACGTTTTATGATAATTGCGGTATCGATTTTTCGAGATAATTTCTTATTACGTTCGAGCTCTAATTGATACTTACTGTAAACATACTAGGAAGTATTCGGAACCTCAAGAAAACTTTTTTTCCAGATCTCTGAATTGCTTCGTTGTAGCGCCAGTGAAATATGCAAGTCTCATTTTCACATGCGATGTTTGTCGAAACACGCTCTGAATGCTGTTGATGAATACAGAATTTTATTGTTCCCTATTCAAGGGCAATGTCCCAAATGTGGTATTACTTACCTATGGGGTGAGTTAATCAGAGATCAGCGAATTTTGTTGGCAGTCAATAAATTCAATTCAAACGGTGCATTATTCAACATGATACCTAGTGGTAAACTCATTAAAATGTAGTTGGTAATTAGACTAAGATGGCATTTAATTCAGATAAAAGTCATTGATGTGGGAGCTGAAGTTGATGATGCCTTACAGGGTTTCCATTCCATTTGCTGTTTCAAAACGTTTATGATTTTCGAAAGATCAAATAAATTGTACTTTCGTTAATATTGATACGAATCATAATCCTTTCTTTCCATGAAGTCACAATGGATTGTTTTTTCTTTTGTGAAAATATCGGTCAACTTTGAATAAGTATTTCACAGCGAAGCCGGTTCACAGATTCAAATTAATGTGTGCTTTTCCTGACTTGATATTTTTTTTTTGTGGAGACGAAACATCTCTTATTGTGTATGTTTTCTTGTATAAATGTTATTTCAGTTTATCATCATTTGGTTTCTGTTAAAGATATGTTTTTGAGCGTATTCTTTGTTTTCAGTGTAGTTTTAAAGAAACCAACATCATTTGAGTGTCGTTATATATATATACCATCACTAACCAACGAAAGTAACCTGGATTAGGTCATTCAAAATCCTGAAACTACTGAAATAAGACGGAAAATTGAATTTGAAATTATGGCTTCAACCTGTCGGCTGTATTACTAGTTTTTTCAAGAGGGTTAGCGGATTCTCAATGATATTCTGGGAAGCGAGCGAGAAGAAGGATCTTGATACTATCTCACGAATTGAAAATTTTTAGGAAATCTGTTGAAGTAATTAAAATTGCATTGTAGAAATCTATACTATAAGGGTCGCTCATCAATGATTTAAATTGTTTCAAAATGTTAAGTTGATCCTTTGTTTATTTGCCTAGCTTGTTATAATAATGTGCTTCGTTTGTTAATTGTTCTAAATTGTTAAATTAATTCTTTGTTCACTTAGCTCTCTTTGTATTCAAAAGAACTTTAAATATTGTCCTCAATTCAGTTCAATTAATATCTATTTTAGAAGTATTTATTTTATCAGTGTCATCAGTAGCAGTGTTACTGAGGTTTCTGTCAGCAGTACTACCAGGAGTACTATCAAATAGCGACGATCTCCATCCGTGATGTTCTGTGACATTGTTTTATAATGTCCGGGAATAAACCATCCATTAACCAATAAAATCTTTATCCAACTGTATCCGTCTGTACCATTTCAAATCCAACAATCAACGAAAAACCTTCACCCTATGTTATTTACCTTACCAAGTATTTCAGTGGTGGTTATTGAGAAATTCTCCCTTTTTATTCTTGCGGAGGGAAATGGTTACAAATTGAAATTGTGGATTACAGTTATATGAAGCGTGATGAAAAAACGAATTCGCTGGATTGGCTTTTGAGGGGGATGGTCAGTTTGCATAATCTTTTAGCAAACCGAGATGGTTATGAGGTGAGCCATAGACAAATCTCATGACACAAATACTCCAGATGAACTTTCTGGCTTCTGGCGCTAGTGGCTAAGGCGTCCCAGAGCTGGAGTGGTCTGAATTCTGGCATCATATATATTATTTTGATATTGTGCAACACGAAAAAATCCTGATTCAAAAAAATGTGGTTGTGATGTGCGAATAACAGAAAGAATTGTGTTGGATTTTGCAAGTTTGCGCTCCGTTTTTTTTGAAGCATTGTCGTGGGTTTATGTAAAGAGTGGGAAAATATGGAATGCATTAAAAAACATTTTTTTTTGTTTTAATCACTGGTCTGAAATTGTGAAAAGTGAGGGTGCTATAGTATTGTTGGATTGTTGCGTCTTCAAGTTAAAAATTGCACTGAATGATGATCTTCAGGAAATACATGGTACAGAGCATTTGAAAGATGGTGTCAAAATTTACTTAATGGAGTTCAGAAGAATACAAAGGCATGAAATTATATATTCCTGCTATCTCCTGCCAAGTTCTCCTGTACTACCATATCCGCCTGACAAGCGTCATTTTCCGGGAGACAAGTTGGCGGTAAGTACTGCTGCGTTTGGAAGATAGTGCTGCCAGATAAAAACTTCATGTCTGCTTAAGAAGGGAGATATGGAAGGAGACAAGGAGACGTAGCACGGAAAAGAGAGTAGCCGAATGGAAAAGCTCGGTATATTACAATTTGCTTTAACAACTTTATGTACTGAACGATGGCAAGATTTTTGGAATTGATAAGTGATGGAATGTGATAGCTGATGACTTCAACTTTCCGTGTAAAAATTGATAAGGGCGATAAATAAGGTGCTTGATGGCAAGCTGTAAAAGATACCTCACAAGATGCAACCTCGGTAATTCAAGTGGATTTCCGGTTGTCTCACATTCTGAACTGGTGTCTCATATTCTTTTCCGATGTAATAATATTCTCTCTTGTCCAATTTCCCTTCTCTTCTCTCATCTCCTGTTCCTCTACACTCAAATTGATATCTGGTCACTCATTTTTGGTCATTAACTTGTATGATTATATTATTTTTACATCTAATTCTGTCTCAGTCAAGCAGTAGCGTTCTGTATATCCACCTCCATCTTCTGGAATTGCTTTCATCTTTTATTGACATATAAATCAAACCAAAGTACGGAGTTTTAATGTTTTATTTTAACTATCATTTTTTCAGGATGCAAGATCATCTAAAAGCACTTATTTTTGCAACATTAATGAATGATGAGAAGCTGTCATATACTAAACGCAAAAAGTCACCAAGACGACCTCTATTGTTGTGTCATTGTCACCAAAAGAATCAAATCATTCAAAAAGACTCAAATCATTCTTCAAAGAGCTATGGTAGGATTCGGAAATAAGTGTGCAGGAGAGGAAGCAATAAAACTGACGTAGGACCAACGCATCGATAGTCTAGGTGATAATGAAAGGCATTTTCACTTTTCATTGGCGCTCCTCATACCTCATGGACAACACCGGTTTATGATTTATTGATCTTCCAGATAGCTCTGTACTAAATTTCCTTTATGTTGCTGAAAATTTAATTAAATTAACCTTGTCGTTAATTTAGTCCAAATTTCATCCCATTGATCTTTTGGCAAGTTATTCACTTCAGCTATCTGTAAGAGTAATTTTCTAAGAAGATGCGTTGCATTAGCATTCATTTTTCCCTTCCCCGTGTATCCGAAGCATCGATTCACCTTTTTGAACGCACTTTTGTGAGTTCAAAGAGGTAAATGAAAAATATGTTTCTAACCTGCTTGTTACTCTTTCACAATGTTCCTCCAAGGTTTGTCCACTTTTACCTTTTTAATGCGAGGATTTCCCAAATAAAGCTGCTTACATTGATTAATAATAAATTAAATGCTTTGACTCTTATGGGTGAGCCATCTGTTGATGAAAAATAAATGGAAAGAAGGAAATTGAAGTCTCCCCGAACTCTTTGAATTTCCTACAAATGCTTTCTTGATTTTTTTGTGGATGGTGGCAGGTTATTCATATCTGCACTTCTTCAAAATGGAGGTAGTAGTGTGGTATTAATCACAAATGTTACTTCCTTAATAGATCAGCAGTTTACTAACAAAAAAGTATTGGAAAGGCAACGCTATGCAATAAGTTGTAAAATGAAATGAATGCATTTTCTGGTTACATATAGTCTCTCAGAAGTGTGAAATGCGCGAAAATTGATTTGTGAGCTGGAAAGATCTATATCTTTGAACAATGATGTTTTCGAAGTCTATGGAAACTGTTAATTTCAACATTATAAACAGTTACACACTGAATTGTTTTGTTAGTTAATAGAAAAATATAATAAAAATTTCAAAAAAAGCGCCGTGCTCTTATTAACTTTTCGGTCCTTCTTAGAAATGGTCCGTTTGAGTTAATTGATTCATCGGTAATTCGCACAACGAAACTCAGTTATTCGTTATCTCGGTTTTAATCTTCAAATGGTATGAAATTGGGTCATACCGATTGTGGTTTTTACTATCAGGAAGGCATACAAGTACACAGCCTTCTCATGCCAAATTGCAAATAATCATTCTCTGGGTCCATTGTTTACCATCTGCAACAAATTCGGCCAGGATATTTCACCGCGGTGCGGCAACAATGATATTAGTCATATCCAACTATGATTAGTCATATCCAACTATGACGAGATTATTTAACTACATTTCTAGACTAAGCATATTGTGACCAGCAGTTTGAATCGCAGCAAATAACCTTAATTTGATCATAAAATTATGAAGCGATGTCCAAAATCAACGGACCTTGAAAAGCTTTGCACCGTATAAGATGGTTTCAGCGACACCGAACTGTGACATTGATTCACAATTGTCTATCGATCTTTACTCTCAGTTTAACAAATTCGTGATGAAATTTGAAATTCCACAAAATTCCCGAAAAGCTTCTCTGTAAAATATGTAATCTGGCGTATTATTTAACAATGATTATGGTGCTGTGATTGTTTTAGTGGTAGCATTTAAATGACCTGCGATCACATTAGATGAGTGTTATGAATCGATGCAAAGTGAATTAAAACGGCTTCCATTAGTGCTTCAATGGTGCAAGAAGAAACAATAAAAAATAACAGTGGTGACAGTTGAGGATGAAGATTTCATATGGATATCATGTGATATTGACGCATCATCGGTGGTTGAAAGTACCGATTTCATCGACTTGACCGACACCTCATTTGACATACCTATTGTACCGACCGACCTATCTCTGCAAGCCACACCCTTTTCGTCGCCTCCCTCAAACTTCAATTTTGTCGTCTTTGTCAACGGCAGCATTGATGCCGTGTCGTCATCGCTGGTTTCGTTTGGTTTTGTCATTGCTATGTAACACTTTTGCCTTCTCATCGAAATGTCAATAGCCATGATATAGTAGAAGTTGGTCGAATGAAAAGCTGTCAAGATGGAGCATGTAGCACGGCGGAATAAATGACCAACTCTAATATGGGATATAAATGGATAGATGGATGGCTGGAAAATAGATTGATGGATGGATGAAAGTGGACGAATAGAATGAGTGTTGTAATATTGTTGCTGATACTTTTGACCCGGGACGAAGAGTTGGAGAGTGATGAGAGGTACCTCTGGACCTCGTTTATAGATATAGAGAACAGCGGAAAGGGGCGGTACGTTCATTGTATGCGTGGTGCAGAGTTACACCTTAACCAAGCAGGTTTGACCGTTATTGTAGCCATCGCAGTTTGTGTACCACTGCTTTCTAGTATATTCGCATTGTCGCTGAATAAAATACCAAGAACAGGTGGTACCAGGTACCAAAGCACCAATGACCCGCTCCAGATATTTGTCTCATAATTTGAACTGTTTTTGTTCATCTCCGTATGTTTTCCCTGTTTTAGGATGTCACAAGTTTGAAAAACTGGGTAAACAAATTATAGGTTCTCCTCCTGTCTTTATTTTGTTATATAAGGTTCGTTTTCAAGGACCTCTTTTAAATGACAGTTATGAGAAAAAAGCAAATCTTAATTGAGGTAATCATTGAAATTCCTCCTCTTCCTTGTTTGTGATTTCGCTCACTTGAAAATTGTTTATAAATTTATTTTATACTATTCCTCACTTATCCATAACCAAATAAGATGAAATTATAATTTGATTATTCAATCATGGCGTTCTGCGTCTTCATTCCAATTTCGTTTGATGAAAAAATAGCCAGTCACCGATAGGATTAAGTTTTAAGATCAAGATCTGTGCATTCGTAAAAGAGTTGGGAGAGTACTGACCAGATCTTGCCAATCACTTATCTGTAAAAGCTTAGGAATATTCAAGTAAGAATCTGCATCTAGGAGATTCATTGCAAAATTGGGTGACGTCTGATGAAAGTTTTTTGAATTATTTAAAAATAAAAGACGGAACAAATGCTTTTTTAAATAGGTGATCATGAAAATAAGGTATTCTGCTTGAATGATTGCATTTTGTAAAGCGAAAAGTTATTATAACAAACACAATTTCGTAGTTTTGCAGTGTTCTTAAACATACTTTCCCATTTTTTTCATTGTTTGACTTTGCTTCAATTTTTCCTTCTAATTATCTAAAAACATTTAATTTCAATCTCATTTTCCAGTCAACTTAGGATTAGTAGTAACATGCATTTCTAATATCATTAAATCAACAACCCAGCTGAGCGAAAAGTGTAGAATATTTTCATCCTTTTTCGAAATTTCAATAAATAATAATGTATTCTTTTGTCATAACGATGGACAAACTAACCAAAATCATCAGGACTTCAAATGTCAAATAACACAACAATTATCTGTTGGTCCCCACCTGTGATGATATGGATTTATCCGGTTCGGATCTTATAGCAGTATTAAGATTGATTACATAAATCGCGGGGTCATCTTATCAGTCTAGTTGAGAAAAAGGTATCTAGGAGAAAGTAATGGAGAGAGGGAAGGAAAAACATTCCGGGTTAGAAGACAGGGATGTGGCAGGTTACGAAATGATTTTGCGACTATAATGCTGAAATAACAGTTCGCTATATTTCAAAATCAGCTGTGGCCATTTTTTCTCACTGAAAATTAACCAACCAGAACAACAAGTCACACACATACACACACACACACACACACACACACACACGAGTAACCTGATAATACAAATAATAACCTTTCGCAGTGTTATGTCATCATAGTTATTAAAGTTATTGTAGCAATAGTAATAGGAGTAGTGGTGGTGGGCAAATATGGGCAATACAGTAAACATTGTTGATAATAATGCTGCTGAAGAAAAGACTGTTTAGGGTAAATCTGGAAACGGTCATTCAAAAATATATTGGTGGAAGTGGTCATTCCGGATATGACGATAAAAATGGTTCTTCTGAGCCAAACAGTGGGGAGGAGGGAATGAATCGAATCTAAAGGTAGGATAATGGATGCTGCTCATTTTGGATATGGAGTGGAGGTGGTTGTTATTCTGGGTGCTTAGAGAGATAAAAATTATATGACAATCGATATTATCATTTTTTTTTTCTGTTTACATCTGTTTTCGATCACTACATAAACAAGTTTCTTCTGAATTTCTTTCACCCTTTCTTTGATGTTATTTGCTTATCGAAATAATTAATTTAAGCATTAATTTTCGATATTAATAGGCCATATCTCTGTAATAAATCTTACGCTAAATCGTAAACCGTTCCATGTTTCACTAACTTTTTCATATTGAGTAGTTAGATAGGTTGATTGAATTGAAATTTGACTGCGTAGAAGTGCTTGTTTACTTCCTGTCAACAATCAACATGCTGATTAATTGATCAATTGACTAATGGATGTGAAACAAGAAAGCACGATAATAAGAAATAATACGATAGAGTATAAAGATAGCTCGTTTTGTTCTTTGTAGCAAAAGTGATGACATTTAATTATCTGCTGGTTTCTAGCTTACCTCTCCTTATACGGCAACGATCGGTAGCAATCAAAAATTGCGATCGCAGTACCGTTGCGAGCATCAATTAAAGAAGAAAGTATAAGCAGACATTGGAAGTATTGACATTCAATAGAAGCGGCGTAACACGCATCAGAGACAGTTGTGCAGAGAGGGAGCCGATTTCTGGGGTTATTCAAATTGAAGAATTTTCAATTATTGACAAATTCAGTGGTGTCATAATTGGTGCGGTTCATTTTTTTGTCCTTCCATAACTATTTGTTAACCAAAGCTGCTGTTCAATTTATTTTTGGAAAAGAATACAGGGAAGCGAAATTATTCACTATTTCTTTTGCTTGCTGAATTCCCGTCTGTGGATTTATCTGAAGAGAAGTAAAAGGAACATCAACAAGTTATCCATTCATATTTCGCAACTCTATCATCACATACCTCTCGGTATCGGTATACATCATCGTTTTATCTACATCGTATCATAATAGTATTGTTATTGTTATCTAAGATAGAAAGATCACTTACCAATTTTTTTCTTGGCCTTCTACATCGCTATCTGATCTCAGCCATTTCTTTTTCTCATATGCTTTCTTTTTCAGGTTGAAACGATTTGAAAAACAACACACTTCATTCTAAGCTTTAAATTATCATCTTTATTCCTTTGCTGCTTTCTGTTCTTTTTTCTGTTCTCTTGTCGTCATGGAGAAGACTAATAGCATAAGCTGCAACAACAACGGCACTATCCAAAACAGTCACAACAATAGCGTGACAAACAACGGTGGTGTCAACGGTAGCAACACCATGGAGAAATCGAGTAATCAGTCTGACCAGTTATCTGGTGGTTGGGAACGTGTTTCCGAAGAACTTTCCGATTCACAGGTATTAGGTGTCTCTTCTGAATCAAATTATCTTTTTGAATTTTTGCAATTATCTTCATAAAATCTAGCGATAGTTGCTATCAATGTATGTTATCAAATTTTTTATAAAATAATTTAAGAAACATATTTATCAATATGCGTATTTCGGAGCAAGGTACTTGATAGATGCGTGTGATTGATTAGAATTCTCACACCAAAATTTTTGAAAAAGAAATTTCACATCTGTTTACTGGACAAGCATGCAACGATTTTTCTCACATGATTCCTTTGAGTAATGATTAGCTATTCAAAATATCAACCGCCCTTGATAGCTTAACATAATCAACCGACCCATTGTCAACACTGCAACCTGGAAAACTTTTCCGGCATTCTAAAGGACTACAAAAACACTCACAACATTTGCTTTATTAAAATACAATCTTTTTTCATCACTTAAATCATCATATACTTTCAGTTTTAATTTCATCAGTTAAATTCTCAGGTGGCGGTGAACTCCAAGGATTTAACTGAATTGAACAAACTTTTCAATGATTTCTTTTAATTTTATTTGAACATTCTGGAGTCTTCAATAAAATCAAAACTTCCTTAAATTTATCAAAAAATCTGTTACCTGTCATGTATCAAATAAATGGGCGATATGCTTCATCAATAACTCTGTCTACTTTCTCTACTTCCTGTCTTTTTACCCTGTTCGAAATAATCGCATTTCTCGCATCTTTTTTGAATCATTTCTACTCCAACCATTAATTTCCATTCTTTTAGCGTACGGCCTTCCTCCCATATTTTTATTCTTTTTAAATTCTATTTTCAAATTCATGTTTGTGATGTGTGTTTTGATAACTGTCCTTTATCAGATGAGAAATGGAAAATTTTCGATTTTTCCATTTCTTATATTCGGAAGTGATCAGCGTTCAACAGTGATAAGATATGCAAAATTCGTCTTGCACACAATCTCCTTTCTCCATGGTTTTTGAACACCGCATTTTCATTGCATACTTTGATGCCAGTAAGAAATGACTTTTATCTGTATCAGGAATTTGTCGCGCATTGCTGGACTGAGAGGTGGAGTGAGTTGTATCGTTGTTCCAGATCAGTGGTAAATGAGTGCATTGAAGTGTATAAGTATGCACGCATATCGGAGGTGAAACAAGATTGAAATGTATTCATTTTCGAAATTGCTCAAATGATCGGCTCCTCGAACACGTTCTTGTCTTTTTTAATTTACTGTTGTCAAAGTTAGTAAAAAGTGGCAGTAAATTTTGTCACTTTGATGAAGGATGGTAATTTTCTGTTCAAATTACAGTTTGAAGGCTCTATTAGTACCGGGCAAAATTCCTTTTATTATACCGCAGGAAAGCGACCATTGCTGAATTGTGACAGTTTGAGTAAAAATTAGTAAGGATGTGTTAGTGGTGATAAAGCAATAGTAGTAATAACATATAGTGATTATGATCGAAATAGTAATGGTAATCATGTGTTAACGGTAGAATGCGCTGGTGTTCGTCACAATTCTTGATAATAATGATGTCGATGACTTTGTAATAAGGACTGATAGCGACTGATGACAATCTTTGTAAAGTTCGATAGCCATAGAACTAAAATGGCAACAGCAGGCTAGCTTTACCCATGTAATTTTCTTTTGTGCTATGCATTTAGAAACCTATTTTATGAAACTTTCATAGTTACTTCAGGCAGTTTATTCCACTGTCCTAAGCCGCATCAGTCCACTTTCCCAAGCATCCTTCCCACTCATTTCTTCTCTTCCATTCAAAATTCGACACAAAATTGTTACATTTATTAGTGTAGTTTGGAGAAGTTGAGAAGTGCCTGAAGGGATAACCATAACCAAGTGAGCATATCATACTTGGTACTTAAATGTTAGAGGAGAGGAGCAAAAATATCACTCTTGCTGACTATGTGTTGTTGTGTGATACTGTTGTCTGCTGTATACATATGTTGCATAGATAGATATATGGTCATGGTGATTTGCGAACCCCTTCTAAAATGATTTCCCCTATTTATGGGTCAACAGATTTCTGCGTACAATTAGGGAGGGGAGAGGAAGGAGAGGGGTGAGAGCAACAAGAGGAGTTTTGAAATGAGAAGAGGTGGAGAGGGGGTACATTGAGCTCCTTGATCAAGAGTCGCATATATCTATCTGCTGCAGGAGATAAGAATCAACAGTGAACCGTTTCTAAAATTTGCAGCAATGATGTTACCAAGGTTGCTCCTCTTGCACCAATGACTGTTTGTAATAAGAATCGGTTCGTTTCATTTTCCACCTTCCTTTTTTGTACCAACAACCAGTTTTAGTCCTAGTTGAAATACTTCTACTACTGCAACTAACTACTACTACTACTACCACTACTACTACTACTACTACTACGTACTACTACTACTACTGCTACGTACTACTACTAGTACTACTACGTACTACTACTAGTACTACTACCAATGTTGAAACAGGATGCATCCATAATGTCCTTTCGGGACCATCGCCGAGTGATGATTTACCTTTCGAACAAATTATTTGCAAATTACATTCCTCTTTTGAGGATTTTTTGAAATAACCAAATGATTTTCTTCATTTTAAAGAAATATTTATGAGCCTATCCTTTTATTGTGGTTGATAGTAAAAAGTTATATATTTAAGGCAGTACATCTATTGCCTTAATGCTTGCCAATCTTTCCAACCTTTTTGTGACTTTTTCCCATTTAGATAATGTCTTACCATTTAAAACTGTCACTTTGGGTCCCCCTGATCGGATTTTAAATTTTTGAAGTTGAAACTTGGTGAAAAAATTCAACGGACAGTGGAATGGCTCATATACAATGACCTTGTATCTTTTGTTCCAAATAGTGTAGCTGGAAACCAAAATTGGGTTTCTGGGTGCCTGGGAGGGGGCGAGTTTTTAGAAGTTGTCGGGAGGAAACCATGGGGATGGGTGATGCGGCGGGAGAGGTGTGAGAGTAGAGAGGAGGAAAGGAGGAGATGAAGACGGAAGTTGAGAGTGTTGTAACTTGGGTACGTCATAAATCACTAAGTCAGCTCGAGTCAATCAACTCATCACTATTACATAATCTTCCATTTTTCTGAGAAATTTTTATATAACCTGAGAAAGTGCTCAGGTAGGCGTGTGACGACCAATTTGCTAATCTAATCTTTTGAAAATGAAAGAAAAAAAGTGATTGCAGCTTTAATTGACCAAGATTATGTTAAAGTAATAAATGTTGGTGAAAGGCGGGTAAGAAGCGTTAGAGCTTACAGTAATTTGAAAAGTATAGGGTGTCGCGCTTATTTCCAGACACATTCATTGGTCAAATCCTTTTCACACCCTTAGAAAATGCACATCTCCAATTGGTTCTCATTTACGCATTTAGCCTTTGGTCAGCTTCACTGTTCGCTGATATAGTGATTTTATTAACGGTAATTAAATATTTTTCACGTATGATTTAAATCCTCTTTTCTATATTTGAGCATGTAAATTAATTCAGCTTGTTATGACTTTTAAATAATAATTAGATTGTCCAACTGTATCAAGCCAACTTAGACTGTGAAGTGAACTGAAAATGATAATTTGGAAATATTTGGGAGTGGAAATGCAAAAGTTAATCATTCTTTAAGAGATTGTTATCTGACAGAACCATCGGAATCATCATCATCATATACATTACATTTGACTCCCGTCTCTGAGTCCTACTCGCCGGATGAGGGAGGAAAAAGATGCACTGTTCAACGTCTCTCCGGTCAATTTTTTCATGTTGATATCAGTCTTTTTTATTCTTCTTGCGACATTCAATTCCTTGTCTTCTTTTAGTGCCATTCTTTGTGCTCTTCATTTACCGATCATATCTCCTAGTTTTCCGCATACTTTTCAAGAAAAAAAAAGGAAGAAGACTATCTATCATTTCACACCTCCTCACATTCTTATTTTATTATGTCATGGTTTTCAGTCCCTATAAAAATTTTCAATTTCATTTAAACTTTTCATCATTGAAATTATGTGGTTATTCAGTTCAGGTAGTGGCACAACTGTGTATTGAACATAATCATGCACAGTACTAATGATCTCAGCCATTAAACTGCTTCGTTTTGATTTGATGGACAATTAAAGCTATCCGAGATATCTAGATATGCACTGATAAAAATAAGAATAATTAAGTTGTTTCATTTGGAAATCTTCATAAAATTGAATTTTATACTAAATCATCGATTTCACAAAGCATTGAACGAATTAAGAAATGAAAACAGGCTGAAAATAGAAACTGAAAAAAAGAAAGCGTCGAAAGAGCATATATGTAATTTATTGAAGAAACAATCAGAAATCGAAATTACATATGTGAATGTTATATTTTGAGGATGATTCCTTTATTACTTTTGTGCTTGATGACATTCATATCAAATGATTTCAAATCGATATTGCAGTCAAACGGAAGTATGAATTCATCGGGTGAAGTGCCGTTTTGGCGAGATCAAGAAGAAATTGTCATCACTGGCATTTCTGGGCGTTTTCCACGCTGCGAAAATGTTCAAGAATTCGGTGACTTACTATTAGCTGGTGAAGATCTTGTCACCGAAGATAATTTGCGCTGGCCACCTGGTATTGCATATTTTTAGTTATTATAACATTTATTTCTTCTTAATATTTATAGTTTTTTTTAAAATCGATAAGTATAAATGTTCAAAATCAGTTAATTTCTGCATTACCGAAAAAATATGACACTGCATAATTGTTTTATTTTCAGGGGTTTTCGATTTGCCGAAACGTCATGGAAAATTGAAAGATTTAAAAAAATTTGATGCGCAATATTTTGGTATAACTCCGAAGCAGGTGCATAATTTAGCATGTCTGGACGGAAAAAGAATTAATTCAATTCACAGTGTAGTATAAATAAAATAATGTCCAATAATGCTGTTGTAGTTCATTGTTTCTGATTTACTTTTTTATTGAATTACTGATCTTTAACAAATTTTAGATTATTTAGAAAATGTTAGATTTCAATTGGTTTAGGCTAATTATTTGGATCCTCAAGTACGAAAATTGTTGGAAGTGACGTTGGAGGCGATCATCGATGCTGGTAAGGGAATAGCTCTTAATTTGTTACATTCATATTAAATATGTCATCCTCCTCCATTAAAATACATTGAAGTTTTGAAGAATTCTTTCATTTCTATTTCAAGTTTTTTTTCTCGGGTCTAATACAGTTTTTTTATCACTCGAATTTTGAAATTTATTAAATGAGGAAGTTAGGAGAAATCAAAACAGCAGCAGCTCAGAAATTTGGATAATTTGAAAATGGAAGTGAATTTTGAGCAACGATAAAACCATTAAATTGTGACGTAAAATTAGGAAGAAAAAGCAGCAAAGAGTGCGTACCTACATGTTGTATATACATGAATTCATCAGACCAGTTTAGGGACTAGTGTCCTTTTATACCACTCAATCTTAAACAAGATATTCACTGTGTTAACACCAGCAGAGCAAATAGATCAGTTTATAGTTTTCCCCTTCTACACAATCTCACTCACATATATTTTTTAGGGAACCGTTTAATCATTTTTTTACGGTGCCACCCAAAAAAATGAAGTCATTTCAATTTTCATCATTTCCATTTAAAGCACTTCTTACACTATAATACTTTTATTACATTTTCATAAAGAATAAAAAAGAGAAAAATTTAAAAACGTGTGCAAAAGTTGTTTGGTACCTTTCCAATCTAGCGGCAATAACTAGAAATTGATAAGTTAGATGCCTTCATTCGATGATGTTTTATGTCGAAATTTCAGCCTTTCTCTCATCATCAATCCTGTAGTACATTTAAGAAAAGACAAGAATACGTCATCATGACACATTCCTATCTTTTCCTTTTCACATGGCGTTCCGACCTCTGACCATAGATCATTGTGAATTGCCACAAGCAGATTGAAACATGAAAGAGTAAAGAACTATTACATTACAGTATTTCACTGAGTCATCTTTGGATGTTGGGAATTAGTTGGTTGCAAATGAGTAATGTTCCAAACTGTGAAACGAATGAGATGAGATAAAATGAATGATTGGATATAAATTTTTAAAATTTAATTTTCCTTACAGTTCCTTAGGTATGACTGATGTCTAAATAAGAAATAAGACATTTCATGAAGAATTTTAGTCCTATTTCGTAAAAACTTAGACCGCTCAGCTGCTCAAAATGTAAGATCAGAAGGAATAGACTGACTGACCTGATTTTCAGACATCCTTCCAGGACGATACTACTTCTTACTAGTGGGCGTATAAATGCATTTTGCATAAGCCACGTTTGAAACAATTTTTCCTCAACTTGCTTTGACAAATGCGGAAGAGTGATGGATCGTATGCAATACATCTTCAAATATTGAAATCGATGTTAATAGTTATGTCGTCCAATCATCGATATTTAATGCATTTAATGGATGTCGAAGTTTAGGCCTTCCTTTCCTGTACATGTAGTACTTTGTTACCATCAGGAAACAGATTTATAAGAAGGGGAGGAGACTAGAGGTACTTGTATTATTCATAAATTAAATTACCAATTAGTTTCTTTGAAGAAAGATGAAGCTTTGTTCATCGTTAACTTTTTTTTTCCCTTCCTTCCTTAAAAACAAAAATGACGACATTGTTACGCAGCAGAATATCACCAAGCTGTCAGCATATAATTTGAATGAGAAATAGAAGTTTTGGTTTTCCACAAAAAAGGCGCTTTTAAATACATTGAAAATTAATGTATTTCTGTTTAAAATAATAATGATATTGAGGATTAATTTATACGAAATATTAACTGATCATCAGAAGTTGTACTGTTATCTCGAATACTAGATTATCTTTTTTAAAGAATAGAGTAGATCATCAATGTTTTTTTTTAACATCACTTAAATCCTATCTTTAAGTTATCTGACAAACGTCGAATGTAGGTTTCAATTCTCTCATGCATCATTGGCTTTCTGATTACTACTTTGATACCTCACAGAAATGTGTACATAAGATACAAGATTCTGAAATGCTGGTAATTTTAAATATTGGAGTCCTAAAAATGCAAAACCTCATAAAATTCTGAAGGCGGCACTTTTAGTATTTAAGGGGAAGGGGTGTTTGAAAGACAACATTTTTCTTCCTTATAAATCATTTTCCCTGGTTTCTGCTATGAAACCGGGGAGGAAATGTTATTTATTTACATCAATAAATTTTCATATTTTTTAATTATTAATGCATACTTATCAGCACTTTTTTGCTTCACTGTTTAGATCAGAGGAATGAAAGTTGATCAATATTAAGAACGTACCCTTATCACAAGAGATCCATCTCATTCAATTTTGGATGATATTTGGAGTGAAGAATAGCTAGAACTTCACATTCTAAAATAAAGAACTAATATGCACCAATACATAGCAAATACGACAGCTTTTCATCAAAATCCTTTTATCCATAACATCTATTTACAATAGTTAAACCATACTTCAGGCTGAAGACCAATCGAAATTGGATTTGCACTGAAAAATGGTTTAGGAAAGTAACTGCAAGAATGAAATCTTCAGTGAGAATAATATAGCATAAGAATTGCAAAAAATGGGGAGAAAGCATTCTAATTAGATACTTTATCATAGCAGTAATTTGGTTCATTTCAGGTTTAAATCCAACCGAACTCCGCGGTTCAAGGACAGGTGTTTTTGTGGGTTGTTCAGCTTCCGAAACTGGTGGAGTGTTAACTCAAGATCCAGAAACCGTTACTGGATATACATTGACAGGATGCGTACGCTCAATGTTCAGCAATCGCCTCAGTTTTACGTTCGACTTAAGAGGTTATAAATGATTTGAAAAATTACGAAAAAATATTTATATGACAAACAAGAAGAAATTTTTTATTTTCCTCTGAACTTTCTCAAACAGTTTGGGATATTTAAATTTTTTAAATGACTTAGTTTCAATAAAAATCAGTGAACAATCGTTTTAAATTAGCTCTATTGATGAATTAAAGAACATATGATTTAAATACAGAAGCACTGAAACTTATGCATGTCAACATTGTGCTTTGCTCATTATCTAGTTGAAGAGTGCTCTAAAGAATTTCTTGCGTAATACAACTAACTTGTAAGTTTTATGTAAAATAATGTTGCTAGGACCGTCTTTCTCTGTGGATACGGCTTGTTCTTCATCTTTATGCGCGCTCCAGCTAGCTGTTGACGCAATACGACAGGAACAGTGTGATGCGGCAATTGTAGCTGGAGCTCATCTAACTTTAACACCTACTGCAGCTTTACAGTTCCTTCGGCTTGGCATGCTGTCCGATAAAGGGAGCTGCCGTTCGTTCGATGCTTCGGGTATCCATTTATTTTTGCAACACACCATATAAAATGCAAAGTCCTAAAACACTGAAAAAAAAAACGATCGGAAACTCGTAAAACATGCGGAACTCTTAAAGTGCAAAAAGTAAAGTAATTCGGTGAGCTCTAAATTGATTCCAGGAAAGTATTTTTATTGTTACTGATATGTTTTGCATTTTGGATAATTACTGCATTTTAAAATATTGCAAACGACCAAGTTGTATTTTTAGGTGATGGATATTGTCGCACGGAAGCTGTTGCTGCAATATTGCTTCAGAGACAATCGGCAGCCAGACGAATTTATGCTACTGTAGTTCATGCAAAAAGTAATACTGACGGTTATAAAGAGCAGGTATGCTGGAGATTTTGAAATTATGTGCTAAGTTTTTTCTTTAAAAAAATGAATCTGCGATTTTTTTGAAATTGAATTAGAAAAACTGTCAAATTATGTAAATAGAGAATTGTAAATTTTAGGGCATTACCTTCCCATCAGGCGAACGCCAGGCAGCATTATTAGAAGAAGTATATCGTGAGGCTGGAGTTGACCCTAACACAGTGACTTACGTGGAAAGTCATGGAACGGGTACGAAAGTTGGTGACCCTCAAGAAGCAAACGCTATATGCCAAGTTTTTTGCCAGAACCGGTAAGCTATGAATTATTTGTAAGACAGCTTCTAGTTTTCAACTCGAGAAAATTTTCAGGAATTCTGCACTTCTTGTCGGTTCAGTTAAATCAAACATGGGTCATGCAGAGCCAGCATCTGGTCTATGTTCAATTGCAAAAGTTCTAATAACAATGGAGCGTGGTTTCATACCACCAAATTTGCATTATAATGAGCCTAATCCATATATTCCTGGTCTCGTTGATGGTCGATTGCAGGTTTCATATTTTTTGGCACTTTATATTACTTTTATGTTTCTTCGGTTTCTTTTGATACGGCATTATGATGGTTAATTTAGGTCGTTACTGAAAAGACACCATTTCAACGCGGTTTAGTTGGCATCAATTCGTTTGGCTTTGGTGGCAGCAACACTCACATCATACTCCGTCCGGCAAGTCATGAAGAGAGTAAACCGGCACCAACAACATTTATGAAAATCATTCCATATTCTGGAAGAACAATAGAAGCAGTAAACAACATTTTCGACTGTGTCTTAGCCCATCCAGAAAATATTTATCTGCAACAGCTACTGGCAAATCAGGCCAATTTGCCAGCTAAGGATACACCGTATCGTGGTTACATGATTATTAATCGTGACAAAATTCCTCACCCGCCAGATGCAAAAAAAGATCCAGAACTGCCACCTCTTCGAGATATACAGAAAATAATAATCACTGAACCAAAACAGATTTATTTCATTTATCCAGGTAAGTCGGCTTTGAGCGAAATAGTTAACTCAGCTCAATTTTGCTTATAGAGCCATTCATGCGGTTTGAACTTTTAATTTCATTTTCGATTTTTGTTTAGGTATGGGTAGTCAGTGGGCTGGAATGGTTAGACAGCTTATGTCGATATCTGCTTTTGATGCATCCTTGAGAAGTTCCAGCGATGCTGTCATCGATTTTGGTGTCAATGTTTACGAGATGTTGCAGAGTGATGACCCAAGCTTTTATAAAAATAATACATTGAATTGCATGCTTGCAATTACCGCCATACAGGTAACAGTGATTCATATATTGGCACGGTGTAATCTGTTTCTGAAAATAGTAGGTAATCAAAGCCTGAATTTGCATTTCAATTTGGCTCGAATTTGAGTGCAGCAGTTTTCGAAATTTTTTAACTTGGGCCAATTTTGTATGACAAATAAAAATTGAGGTCACATAATTTTACATACCTTACTTCTCGATGTTACAGTACTAATGTGAAGTGATCTCGAATTTTGATCTTATTTGCGAGCAAAACTACAAATACTTTTCCAGATTGCCTTAACAGATGTGCTCTTCCTACTGGGTATTACACCAGACGGAATAATTGGACATTCGACAGGTGAAATGTGTTGTGGATATGCTGATGGTGGACTTACGCGTGAACAAACGATGCATTTGGCTTATCATCGCGGTCGCACCATTATGGACGCAAATATCAAAGGTGGTATGGCTGCCGTAGGCCTATCGTGGTGAGATTTGGGTTTTCGGTCTGCATAACACAATACAAGTTCGAAAGTTTTTGAAATTCTAGCATTCTCACTTACTGAGGCGCTTGCGGATCTGAACACTTATGAGAAGAGAACTGTTTCGCAGTTCACATACTTTTTTTTTGCTTCAGTGTTTTGTTCGACACATTAACAAAAAGATGATTTATTGACTCATAGTAAACTATTTTGATTTGAAAATCGAAGCCAAATCAAAATTGTTTTGGTAACTTATCATATAAATGATCCGTGAATCTACCCATCCAGAAATAAGACATTTGAAAAATTTATATATTATTTAATTTAAATCAATGTGTGCCATTTTTGTTTTTATATAAACTTCCCCCAAGAAGTCATATTTCATTGATATTTTGCAGAGCGGAAGAATATTTTTGGTTCAGGCTTACGGCTTATTGTCATGTATTAAAATATTTTAATTCAGGGAAGAAGCCACAAAACGATGTCCAAAAGGTGTCATTCCAGCTTGTCACAATGCTGTTGATTCAGTAACAATTTCCGGTGATGCTGAAAAAATTGAAGAATTTGTTGAAGAGTTGAAAAAAGAAGATATATTCGCAAAACTTATTGATTCATCAGGAATCCCATTTCATTCACCAGCTATGCTTAAGGTATTTAGTTTGTCAGAGTGTTGATATCTCTCCTGCAATCATTTAATTGGTGGCACACTGCAAACATACGGATGTGATTAAGATTTCAATTCTCGAATATCTCTGTAACAAACATTGATATTAGAAGTATAGTTATGTCTATTATATTTGCTACTAATTGCTTGCATTAGCCAGGATATACTATCATAACATAATTCAGCAAAACTGTGATAGCACTTCCGAGGAAAACTTCATCGATCTACTACAATGCAATGATATATTATTTCAAATGAATTTGGTTAATTTCAGGTCAAAGACAAAATGCTTAAAGCAATGCGTACAAGCGTGCCAGATCCAAAACCGCGATCCTCTCGGTGGATTTCAACCTCAATTCCTGAAAGTAATTGGGAAAATGAATTGGCACAAATGTGTTCAGCAGATTACCATACTAACAATGCTGTAAGCCCAGTGCTTTTCTATGAAGCACTGCAAAAAATACCGGCAAATGCAGTAACAATTGAAATTGCACCACACTGCTTGATGCATGCAATCCTGCGTCGTTCGTTGCAGAAAACCTGCACCAATGTGGGTCTAATAAACATGAAAGAAAAAGATCGTGAACTGGAATCGTTTTTGCAGGTGAAAATTGTTTAACTACTCTCGTTGAAAATATGAACTGCATTTATTGATTTAAAAATGAAAATCTCGAGAACTATAATGCCATGATAAACTGCCATCAAAGAGTTAACCGAAAAAAGTTTAATTAAAATCAAATTCAAATATTTTTGTCATAGTGGTTGCAATAATTATTCCAAAAGTATTTCACTCTAGGCTTTGGGGAAGATTTACCAGACAGGAATAACCATCCATATCGAAGCCTTGTATCCAGCTATACAATATCCCGTTCCGATTGGTACACCCATGATATCTGCCATGTGGCGCTGGGATCATAGTCAAGACTGGCCGGTTATCGACGGTAAAACGCTTTCAACCGCAGGTGGTGGACAATTACCAACGTCATACTGTTATACAATTGATCCTTTTGCATCTGATTCTAAGGTACATTATGTCATCTTCGCATCGAAAGCTGTTATAGTCCCAAATAAATATGAGAGCGAATAAAGTAAAAAGGAAGCTGGGAGGGATGGACGAAAGAAGTTGGTTAAAAAGGCAATAACCACGTAGCATTAGTAGTAACAATCACAATTAATAATAATGATAATAATAGGTACCAAATAAGATGAAGAAGGAATGGGAGTCTATTTTCCCTTCCTTTTCTACCGGTAGTGACATAAATCTCAGAAAAGTCAGATGACTAATGTTGCCATCCGAAACAGTCAATATAAGGGAAAACAGGACAAGAAAAAAGTTTTTATAACTTGCTATTACCAGCAGTTTAATAGAGAGGAAAAGTAAATTAATAGTGTCAATATATCAGATAAATAAAATGACTACTCTTGTCGTTTATTGGTTATTGGTTACTAGAGCTGTACTTGGTTAGTTTAGGAAACATTTTTGCTTGATCACATCATCGATGGCCGCGTATTGTATCCATTCACTGGACATATGGTATTGGCATGGAAGACTATAGCAAAATTGAATGGTGTAGACTTCCTGAAAACGCCTGTCATTCTGGAAGAAATCCGAGTGTACAGTGCAACAATCGTGACTAAACCAAGTCAGGGATTTAATTCTTGTGTGCATATATGTGATTTATAGATAATTTGTTGGAATCTGATTCTGTGGAAGTTTATGCTTTGAATAATGAAGTAAGATACTAGCAACAACTTCTGATGTAGTCAGTATTTTTTCAATAATCATTTTGTTTTCAGTTCGTTTGGATGTTATTGTAACACCAGGAAATGGATACTTCGAAATTTTGGATGGTGACCAACTAGCGGCATCCGGTTATATCCGTATTGTCGATGAAGATGTGCCATTTTACTACAAAAATATCGATGAAATTCAAACGTCCGAAATTGCAGAACGTATCGAATTAGATACGGAAGATGCTTATAAGGAATTTTTACTTCGTGGATATGAATACGGCCAGGCATTTCGGTTTGTACCTTTCTTCATTTTCTCTTTAGAACGCGATCATTCCCGGTTGTATCATCAGTACTGGTTCTTCCCCAATAGTACTATAGTGATGAATGTGGCTTTGCATCAGTTTCGTAAGAAAAATCACTCAGGAGTTCTCTTAAATGGAACTGTTGAACTATCGTTGGCTCTATTCTTTCATGTGCTTCCATTTTCCCGATGGAAATGATATACTAAAATGGATTATTTTATCCTATCAAGAGCAATTAAGGTAACTATGTGGTATATGTGTTATTAAATTTTTCTTCTTAGTGGAATATATCGAGCATGCAACAGTGGAGAACGTGGAATGCTTTACTGGACCGGCAATTGGGTAACGTTTCTAGATTCACTTTTACAAACAGCTTTGCTAGCTGAACGAGCAGATAGTCTTCGGTTACCTACCCGAGTGCGCTATTTGCGAATTGATCCAGTTAAACATATGGAACATATCCAAGAAAGAGGTGATTTTACCATACTAAAAATCGATATTAAATCAAGGACTGAGAAGTATGCAAAATTTTTCCTGCAACTTATTTTTCCCTCTTCAAATAATGAAATCTTTGATAAAAAGAAATCTTTAGAGCATTGTTTTACGATTCTTTTCCAATCCTTTTTCATTTCAAATTTATTTTAATTTTTAGATGGTATACAAGTAATTGAATTGCGTAATGATGTAGCAACCAACGGCTGCATTGCCGGTGGTGTTGAATGCTGTGATTTGACGGCACATACGGTCGCTCGCCGATTACAATCTGCTGGGCAACTTTATTATGAGAAAATCTACTTTACCAAACACTTTGATATGAAGTAAGTCCCTAAAATTCAAAAATGTAACAATTAAAAAGAGAGTAGGAGAAAAAATGTGCATTAAGAATTCCTTCTGCTGAAGTCGCATTGTTATTTAGCAGATGGGTGCTAAGACATCCATCTAGTTGTTTTTTGTGGCTCATTTCATAATTATAGCATGAATGCATCACTGAAATACTGCTACAATTCATAATCTGCTAAAATTATTCTACAAAAATATCAGTTTCATTCAATCTAGTTGTTAAGTAAGATTTTCATTTTTCTAACGATGTAAAATGAAGCAGTTGGCATCTAACTTTCGTAATCGGTATCAATTTTGGCAATGTTAAGAGTTTTTATTTTTAGAGCTTTCGATGAATTTTTGCATATTCGTGAAGAGCTGAATGCTTATCGAGATTTTCTTCGATCAATGCTGGCCAATGGTTTAGCAAAATGGGAAGTCAATGGCTGTCTGAAGGAACTGACTAATGGTGCGCTTCTTTCGGATGCTGTTCGTAAATTCACAAAGTTCATGAATCCAGTCAGTGAAGCGGAACACAAACGATGGCTCGATGACTCACAGTTTGTTCTTCCTCTTATTCTTTGATAAAGTTTGAGTTCAGGACAATGTAAAAACAATGTCATTAATTGGAATTTCGTGTCTTATTCCAAATCAGGTCACCAGTTGCGACAGTTTTTGACGAAATTTTCGCCATCGAAATTGGTGACAATCCCAAAGATCTCAAAAATAAGGTGGCAGAAAAAATGCAAAGTATGTTGAAAATCTTCAACGTAGATCGTTTATGGAGCGCTGCTATTGTCCATGATAGGATTTTGAAAACAGTCCAGGTACATGTTTATTGGTTGTAAAAGTTGCAAATTTTTTTGATTGCGGGGTTTCGACCTCTAAAAATATGTGAGTGGAAGATCTGCGGATGTGAAATAGTTGTATTTCAAACTTTCTCATACAGAAATCTTGCCTATGAATATAAAATGAATAATATTCGTAAATCATCTTTTTTAGGACACATGCATTGAGAATTCAATTGGACATAACTGTAAAGTGTGTGCACTCGAATTCAATTCAACCGAACAGCTTAAGTTTTTTGTTGACGCAGTAAACTCACATCCGCTTCTGGAAGTGGAATGGCTGTGTGTCGGACCCAAAGTAGATGACATGGATGAAAGCACTCTGGTACAGCTTGGTGTTAAAAAAATAACGACTGTTTTAGATGACAAACAATTCGTGCCAGCTGCTGAAATCAAAAACTGCGACATAATAATTTTGGATAAAATACTATCACGGTGAATTAAGTTAACCTTTTTAGTTTTTTTTAAAATTATACTGCACCAAATTTTGTTGTTTTTACCAATTTTTTTTGGAAAAGAATTTTTTTTGTTAGATGAACCGAAAGTGATATGTATATTCCCCTAAAATTTGCAATTGTTTAGTGACCTTTGTTCAGAAGAAAAGTAACGCAAGAACTAACTTTACAGACAATAGTTCAGGCGTGCTGGCTACGTACGCATTAGTTTAAAAACAATTTGAGACCCGGAAGGCATGAGCCAAGTTATCAGGATGTGCCAAAAATGTGTTTTGAATAATAATGTTTGAAACATTTTGTATATATTACTAAAACGCTTATAGAATTAACTGCGTATAATTTGAAAAATCGCCGAAATCAGGATTTATTATAATTGATCAAGGCAAAAATATCATTTTTCAGGAAGAAAGACATAGTACAGTATCTGTCGAGGTGTAAAGAAATGTTACGTGATGATGGCTTCATCATTTTAGTCGAAACAACATCTGACTATGAAATTGCTCTCGCAATCCAAGGTCTTAGTGCAGAAATAATAAATATCAGTGATTCTGGACGTATATATGGTGCTTATTTTACACATGATCAGTTGCTGAAATTATTTGAGGAATGCGAATTTCGCCTCTGTAATTATCAGGTATCTTCTTGATATATTTTAAAGAACAAGAGATTTTTGTTTGATATGAAGTCAAAAGCTAAAATTCGTTATAAAAAGTTCATAAATTTGATCTTTGCAGAGTGATCCTTCGATGATGACCACAATGTATGCTATCCGAAAAATTCCATCACAAGCTAGAGAGCCAATAGTAATTGACGTGGATGATATTGAAGAATTTACTTGGATCGAACCATTACAAAAAGCAATTGAAGAACGTTTGAACGAGCCGGACTACAGGACTATTTGGCTTACCAGTACAACAGTACGCAACAACGGTTTACTTGGACTAGCCCTTTGTTTCAAGCAAGTTTTTTAATATTGTGCAATGCAATCTTATCTGCTGAAGAACAATGAATAGATCCTAACTGAATAATCCTAAAAGTTTTACTAGGAGATTGGCAAAAAGACACTAAAAATACCGTAGTTCGACCATATAAAAACTATTCTTTTGGTTGTGAATGTAACATGAACTTTTTTAAGCTTGAACTTGAAGTTTTGTAGTTGAATATGCAAAGCGTAAATTTGTGGATTATCCCGTGGAGCCATTGCTCCATGACCTTTTCCTGAAAATTTATATCTTTTAGTGAATTCAAAACAAGAAAAAACTGTCAAAGCAAAAACGAAATAAAAGCATGGGAAAATGACTACTGAAATAACATACCATAAAATCGATTTTTAATTTAAAAAAAAATGCCAGTTCAGTGTATCGTAGAGATTTTTGATACCGATGAGCGGTAATTGTCGCACATAGTTGTCGTGTGTGGCATAAGGAAATGTAAAAATTTTTCCAAACTAACAAAAATTGAGCTTCGTACTTTTACTTTAATTGCTTATAGGTTTTAGATTTTTCTGATGATTCATTATTTTATCTCTCATTGAAGGAGAGAAGTGAGGTAGCATTGATTATACGTATTAATAGTTTTCAACGAAGTCATATTTATGTGATAATTTTTATATTCTAAACAAATAGTGCCTTGGTTTTGTAAATCATCAAAATTTAGCCAAGATGACATTGGATAATTCAATTTGAATTATAATGAATTATCTACAAAATTATTTATTATAAGGTGCTTCCTCTTATATCAAAGAATTCATACGACACTAGAAAAATTGTTGTTTCAGTGAAGAAAATTTAAAATCAAATCGTTTTCGAACCTTGATTGATATGAGTGTCAAGAAAGAAAATCGTACTGGTCCAGCCCAAATTGGAATGGAAAATGAGTCCGTTAAACAGTTGGTGAAACTTGATCTCCATGCTAACAACTACCGCGATGGTGTGTGGGGCTCCATACGTCATTTTGTTGTTAAGGATGGTAAGTCTAAATTTGTTCTAGTGGATTATATTATTGTTTGATAGATATCATAGATGAAGAAAAAAATAATCGAAGTAAGATAACAGCGCTACTGAATTAATAATTTTCAGATTCACTTTACTAAAATAGTACTTATACTCAAAAAATTGCAAATGTAAGGATAGTTGGGTCGAAAGTCCATTCAGAAAAAAGGTAGATTCAGGGTCATTTTTAAAAACTGGGCAATGAAAGAACTATTGATCAGTGATGATTAAATGATTATTTAAATCTTTCAGACGAAATGCACTTATATAAAAATGTGGACCATGCTTTCATAAATACTTTGATTCGCGGCGATGTTAGTTCATTGACGTGGTTCGAATCGCCAAATCAGTTCTTTGAAGATACTCGTCAAAAAAACCCTTCACTAGAGTTGTGCCATGTCTATTATTCAGCAATTAATTTCCGCGATGTCATGCTTGCATATGGACGACTTCCACCGGATGCTATCCCGGGACAGGTGCACAATTTTATCCATTCTTAACAATGCAATATTCTGCAACCTAAAGGATGGTCCAAAAATTGCCTGTTTGTTCTTATTATCTCTCATCAATACAGGATGAAAAATTGAGATGATATAAATTCTTAAAATTTACAATAACTGAATATATCATTCAAAATTTAGTAGTGGACTACAGTGATGATAATATGGACCCAAATTATAGAACCAAACGTATTCGAAATATTGGTGACTGCGCGCATAAGTTATTACTATATAAATTCACTATAAATAATTTAGTTCGCTGATCGCGAATGCTTGTTGGGTATGGAGTTTTCGGGACGGCTGAAGGATGGTACTCGTTTGATGGGTGTATTACCGGCACAAGCCTTAGCGACTTCTGTAATTGTTAATCGTGAATACGCATGGGCCGTTCCGGATAACTGGTCACTCGCAGACGCTGCAACGGTACCAATCGTATATACCACTGCGTACTATGCGCTTGTGATGCGTGGTCGCATCAGACGGGGTGATAAGGTTAGTTATAAGAAGAGGCACTTTGTTACCTACCACCATAAAAGAGCTAAGATTGTTTTGTATTTTTGAGGATCAAAAAATTGTAATATTGGGAATAAAGCTATTGCATGGTAATCTTTTCACTTATTTGAATAAATAATATGAATGGAAATCGAATTTTCCGATGTCTTTGCAACTGGTGACAATATTCTGTTAAATAGCTCTGATGAAGATACTGTAACAGCCTCACATTTAGGTTTTAATTCATGGAGGTTCGGGTGGTGTTGGCCAAGCTGCAATCGCTGTTGCTTTATCACGCGGCTGTGAAGTTTACACTACAGTTGGAAATGCTGAAAAGAAGGCATTTTTGCAAAAACGGTGAAGTATACCAGTTGGTTCAATTGCTGACAGAAATGTTTTTGCCTTTGTAGTCGATTGTTTAATATTGAATTTAATTGATCTTGAACATGAATCCTGCTTTTTTTTGCAGTTTCCCACAACTAAAGGATAGACATTTCGCGAATTCACGAAACTCCGATTTTGAGCTTCATATCAGGCACGAAACAAGGGGACGCGGAGTTGATGTCATACTTAATTCATTGGCTCAACATATGTTGCAGGTATGGTTGGATCAGATTATTCTATTTTCGTTAGGAAGGATATTTTCATCATCCCTAATATGTGTTCTGTGTTGAACCAATCATGGTGATGAATACATAGTGTCTTTCTGAAAATTATACCAATAGAAAGAAGAATATTATGATATAAATGGCGTTGGCTGATATATTGCTTAATCATTAAAGATAATGCAATTTCAGGCTTCTGTTCGGTGTCTTGCTCAAAACGGACGATTCTTAGAAATAGGTAAAGTAGATTTATCGCAAAATTCGCCTCTTGGTATGGCAGTGTTCCTCAAAAATATTACTTTCCATGGCATACTTCTGGATGCGGTGATGGATCCTAACGTTGGGAAGAAAGAAGACTGGCAGGTTTGTGCGTAAGAGATTGAAAGTTTTTTTCCGAAACAAGTCACTGAAAAGTCTTAAACTTATAAAATTTATTTGTCAAATTTTGTTTCGTTTGAAAATTCTCAAAATGGAATGCTTCATTTTAGGAAGTAGCGCGCTTGGTTCAGGATGGCATTAAGAGCGGAATTGTACAACCTCTTTCGTATATTGCATTTTCGAGTGAAAAAGCTGAAGAAGCATTCCGTTTCATGTCATCTGGTAAACATATCGGAAAGGTATGGTACTATTTCAAATATTTGTAACATTTGTAAAGGTATGATACTATTTTCGAACATTTGTAACTTATTAGTTCATGAGAATCATTCCAATTTTGATACAGCATCAGATTCAAATTCGGAAGCTAGCTGAAGCAAAATCAGAATAGGATAATCTAATACATAGCGTTCCATAACTAGAAAAAGTGCTGAGTGAGTGGTTTGGAAAGGAGGAAAATTTAAATATTGCTATGTGAGTTATCGATCGTATTCAAAGCTTTGAAATTTGAAATTAACGATATTACGAGCGTTTCTGCATGTCAAATTTCTTTTGAAAATTTGGAATAGCAATTTAATTAGGTAAAAATATTTTAGGTTTTAATGGAAATTCGACAAGAGGAACCGGAAAGAGTGTGCGTACCATCACCAATTAAAGTGCGAGCGATATGTCGAACATTATGCCATCCAAATCATGTTTATCTCATTACTGGTGGCCTTGGTGGATTTGGCTTAGAACTTTCGCAATGGCTTATTAATAGGGGTGCTAAAAAGTATGTCCGTAAAACAAGTTGTTTATTCTTTTTTCTTAAATAAAAAAAGTTTCAATTAACCTGAAAGTCATTCTATAGTCTCCCGAGATATTCTTTGTGAACTTTCACAGACTTAGAAACCAATCGCTGGCAGACATTTTCGTACTGCAGATCTTTCTAAACGAAGCCTGAAATATTTATTGTAGCTATGTGAGAGTAAATTAATATATCAAAAGTGACATAAAAATTGCATGCGAATGTTGCAGATTGGTGCTAACTTCTCGAATGGGAATCCGGACAGGCTATCAGGCTCGTTGTGTCCACTTTTGGCGTCGAACGGGTATTTCGGTTCTTGTTTCAACGCTTAATATTGCTCGTCTATCAGATGCCCACGAGTTGATGTTGCAGTGTAAGGCATTAGGTCCAATTGGTGGTGTCTTCCATCTTGCTATGGTGTTACGCGATTGCTTGTTTGAAAATCAAAATGTACAAAATTTCAAGGATGCTGCTGAAGCGAAATACTGGGGAACCCTAAATTTAGATGCTGCTACCCGAAATGCATGCGGTGAAGAACTTAGGTGGTAAGTCTAACCTTATCTTAATTGTTCTAATCAATATTTTTAACAGTGCTATACTCTTTTGCAACGACTAGTTTATAACAGTGATACGTTGAGTTAATATCAACATTTCTGAACGATGTTCTTTGTATTTGTTCAAAAAATTGCTGTTATACGTTTCTTCTTCAATACTTGGAAATTTGAAAACTCTGATTATTTATATACTATTAATGACGGTAAATACTTG